ATGAGGTTTCCAAAGCCGAAAAGCATCATGATGTGCACACCGAGCCAGGACTGATAGAGGGTAGTAGCAGTGTAGGAGGAGGAGGACGGGGAGGGCGCAGTACCTTCGGCATCTGGGGTTAAAAGGAAGATAGCCAAAAAGATGAAAAAGTTATTGAGGAACAGGTCGGCGACGGACATGGCTGGAGACGTCAAGCTATGGGCGGGAACTCGCGCGACATGGGTGACCCCCAGCACTGTGTGAACCGATCAACTGGATGACGAGAGCGAGGGATGAAAAATGTACGTACCGGGGGCGTAGGAGCCGTACATGGTCCAGATGACAAGAATGAGCCCTTGCATTACAACGAGGGTCATGGGAAAGGCCAAGCCGCTTCGTCCATGCACGTCTTCCATCTTTCTCACGGGAACTTGAAGCGGGGAAATGGAAGTTGCAGTTTGCAGGTGATTTTTACTGTAAAAACCGATTACGCGTGGGTGAGAAGAAATTTCGTATGTCAAAAGATAAAAAAATCGACCAATTTGGCCTTTTTTTGAAGAAGTTGCGGGCGAAGTTGATAGTTTTGTACAACAAGAAGATGGAGCGGCATTTTGAGGACGGAAATCCAGATGTTCGTATTCCGCTCTCCTGTCTCTATCGCTGGCGCCAAAATCAATTCCTTTCCCGCGTCTCTTCCAAACTGGGCCCTTATGATACGCAACGGGACACGTCGGGGGCGCGCCAGGACGCCAGAGTTGCGTGCATGACCTTTTGCAGCATAGGATCCAACCTCCCGGCACGTCCGAAACCCCGCCGGCCTGGGGCCTCCACCTTTTAACGGCTCGACTTTTTTGGCACGGTCTCCCTGCTAGGGTTAGGGTTCGGGTTACCTACTGCACGCCACGGCGATCGGCGGCATGTTTGCGGATGTGTCTCCCGGGCGTATGATTATGTAGATGGTGGATTGCGGTGTGTGGGATACTCGCGGGTCGGCCGGGGGATGTGACAGATGGGCTGCGACTTCCCTATTTTGTAAGCCGTAGCTCCCTCCCCAGCTCGGCACTGCTGCATCGCATGGAAGGTACCATAAATAAAGTTGGTGCATGCCTGCAAAAGCGAAGAGTCTACACCTTTTCTCCTCCCTTGCTTGCGTCGTCTCTCGACAGTGCCGCTCGCGGCGTCGGACTCAGTCGTAAGGGTTCTATTTTGCTGACTGGGAAAGGCCCTCCATCCCACTGAGAAACGATACAATTCCGTCATTACCGTACCCTCCTCAAAACACCTTTCCCTCCAACCCTGTTCCAACCCGTACATAGCAAACAAAGCCTCGCTTGGTTTCTGGAGGCTTGACAACGCACGCGGGCCGCCCAGAGCCGCTTCAGAGATAGTTCACCGGGGTTGAGTCCGGACTTAACCTTTCGAACGCACCAGGCATCCGCAGGGAAAAAAAAGATGAGCCGCCGCCTGCTAAAATATGGTGGCGAGGCCTTGAAACCTCACTTTGTGGACGGACGGTGGGAGCGTCCCCTGATTTCAAAGCGCGTGGTAAGCAAACGTTTCATCAGTCTCTGCTTCCTGCCTCCCTTCCTCCCTGCCTCCCTTCCTCCCTTAATCTCTCCCTCATCCCCCTCCTTCCTTCTTTGTATGCAAAGAGTCCCTGATTTGTTTATTTTTCTGAACCATGTTGCTATTCTCTTCGTCTGTCAGGCGGCCCGCCTCCGCAAGGAGGCGGTCATGAACGGTCGCGTCGGCCCATGGCAGCCCAGCGTTCAGGATTCGAACGGGGAGAAGAGGGAGGGCACGAAACAGGTCCTGGGATGGGATCCTGCTTGGGACACGGTGAAGGCGCCCAAAATATTGAGGCCGGCCAAGCTACACGCGCGGGAGCGGAACCGGGAGGAACGGTAGGGAGGGGGAAGAGGAAGTCGAAAGGGCGGGTGGGGAAGAAGAGATATCGCAAATAACCTGCGTCAGGAGTTACCACTCGTGCGTGATAAAGCAGCGACTCAATCCTCGGACCTCCCTTCCTTCCCTGTTCACCTCCCCTGGCCCGCACAGTTTTCAAAAGATCGAAACGGCGATGGCGGGGATGGCGGCCAAGATCGCTCAGCACAAAGAGAGCATGCGAGCCTTGAAACCGAAACCGGGGATAGAAACCTTGTACAAGAAGGTGGTGGCCAAGGCGCAAAAACGCCGGTGAGGTTGGAGGGCCCGGGTCACGGGGAAGAAGCCAAGCGGGCGCGACCCTTCGATGGATATTCCTCCACCAGAGAGGGCGCCCGAAAGCAAACAATAAATACTTTTGAAGGTGAAGAAATAATGAACATTGCGCTGAGTTTCTTAATTCCTGGTCGAGCATCGCTCGGGCCAGCTTTTCCTGTGGGGGCTCTTCCTATTAGTCGGGCCCCGATCCAGCGATCGGCAGGATGATGGAAGAACCCCTCTCCCTCCTTGTGATGACGATTTCATTGCCCATCTTTTCCCCCGGCTGTCACGCTCCTGCGCATCTTCCCCTTCTCTCTGCCTCCCTGCACTCCATTTGCTTGCCTTTGAAACGCTTCTTCGAGCGTTGCCCCGCCTTCTCCCTCGATGTCCTCCCTTTCTTTTCTTCCCCTCCGTCGTGCGATCCTACACCACGCTCGCTTTCTCAGCCCGAAGGCGCTACTTTCGCATTTCCTATCCCCCCTGGATCTTTCCTCACCCCCCTTTCGCCTCCTCCCCCTCCCTCTTCAAAAACGCATCGGTTTACGAGTTGCGTCAACCGATGGATTTCTTCCACGCACTCCCCCCATTCCTGCGGAAGGAGTGTGAATCCCTGTTGTTGCCTGTCTGTGACCTTCTTGACCAGGCCCATGCCGGTCTGCATGCCGGAAAACACCGAGGAAGGGACCCTCGATTTCACCGGGATGCGTGCGCCGTTGTCGGAGGGAGGGGAAGAGGTGCCGGCGGAGGTCTTGGTGCTCCCCGTCTTCATAGTGCCCGTCGTAGTCTTCCCATCCTGGAGAAAGGGAAGGGGG